AAGAAGGCACCAGACGTTGTGCCACTCTAAGGGAGCAGATGCTCTTTTAGGCAGAACTTTATGTTCCAGCCTTGTCCACATCCCAGGTGTTAAAAACTGGTAGGCACAAATTCCAATCTGTTGTTTAGGGAATTTCATGACTTTAAACCTGAAATAAACAACCTTGCAAACAAGAGCTCCAAATCATATATTTATTAGTGAGAATACAGCTATATGAGAGCACCCATGCCATGCCCATCAGATGCTCTGGTTACATGGATTACAGTTCTCATTTTTATAGGGTTTCTTTAGCAAATGCTAAACCCTTCAATGCTTATCAGCTTACAACACTTATGATGTATAGTTTAGTATAGTCCAGTTTGCAACATTTTTTATCAGTATCAATGTAAGTATACCAATACACTTCTACTCAAAAGTAGCTAAAAACACAAAAACAACTGAATTCTTTATATATTATATATATTCCTATATATATCTAATAATAATAATAGCCATTTCTAATGTCATGGACCTTATTCTAAGATATATAAACTTATTTGAACACTTTTATTTACTGTTATTTCATTAATAAATATTAAGATGATGTAGGATATAGTAAGGATCACTTATATCCCTATACACTGTCAACATCTGCATCAGGTGGAATGGGCTAGACATCTAGATGTTTTTAAACCCTTTGCCACAGGTGGGGAATACCAAATGTGGATCTCCTGTTGTCCTGATTTAACAACAAACTGGACAGGTTTGTTACCCTCAAGCCTTCACAGTGGATGCTCTGATGATGGCCTCAGATCAACCTGATCTATGCCCCTCAAGATTTTCCCTTGCCTACTGTGCAAGATTGGGGAGGAGGGCATTCCAGTGATCCTCATCACAGTGATTTAACCCAGAAGGATATGGTACTCAGTCATACTTAAGCTTCTGACAAACTCTGTGTAGGCCCTTCTAGATCATTTGGACCTCCTGCGCCAAGGGCCAGTGTTGCATCCTGCTTCACAATCACTGGCATCATAGGCATGGCTGTTGAAACCTTGGTCCTGAAGGAAACACCTTTAAGATTCAGCCATTCCTGCCCTCATGAAGGTTAGGAAATTATTTTTTTCTCTTTTGCTTTCTCATTAAGAAAGCAATCCTAAAATTTCTGCACCCACCCTAAAATGCCCCAACCCAAACTGTATGAGAGGTAGTTAAAGTGTTTCTAAAGGTGCAAGGTTATTCTACCTTCAAACATAAAGTGTGTGTGTATAGATAAAAATGCCCAGGTGCTCCTCCACAAAGAAATCCATATAAATCCAAAACTGGTTTAGAGGCATTCTCGGGTCTTGCAGAGGAGGTAGATCAAGAACAGCAGTGTTTTTTATTGTCAACATTTTGATGAAGCTCAGTCTTGAGAGATATGGACTGAGTTTCATCAAACATCAACAAAAACGTCTAAAAAAAAGCTGTTTTTTGATCTTCCTCCTCTGCAAGACCCATGGGTGCCTCTAAACCAGTTTTAATATATATATATATATATATACATATACACACACACACACACAGTGCTCACCATAAATGAGTACACCTCCTTTGAAAAGTAAGGTTTTAATATCTCAAACACAAGAACAATTTCCAAAATTCCAAAACACAAAATTGAGTTTTATAGAACATTTGTGTATCTCATTACATGAAAGTAAGGTTAATAATGGAACTTTGATTACAAAATCTTCAGTTTTACTCAAATTAATTGATGCAAAAATGAATACATTCCACAACAAAAACTACTACAGCTAGTTTTTTGTATGACCTCCATGATTTGTAAGGACTTCTAGGCATGGAATGAACAAGTTGGTGACATATTGCAATATTTATCTTTTTTTCCATTCTTTCAAAGAAAGACCTCTTTTAGAGCCTGGACACTGGATGGAGAGTGATAGGTGTTCAATTGGGCTCAGATCAGGAGACATACTTGGTCACTAAATCACTTCCACCCTGTTCTTCAGAAATGCAACCGTGGCCTTAGATGTGTGTTTTGGATCATTGTCATGTTGGAAAGGTGCACGACGACCAAGGGCACAGAGTGATGGTAGCATCTTCTCTTTCAAAGTAGAGCAGTACATCTGTGAATTCATCATACCATCAATGAAATGCAGCTCCCCGACACTAGCAGCACTCATGCAGCCCAACAGAAGGACACTACCTCCACCATGCTTCACTATAGGCACTATGCATTTTTATTTGGCTTTCTACTTCTTTAGCTAACTGCAGTGAACTTGCATGGTAATTTTCTTCAACCCTTCTCATCAGAAGACGCTCTTGTCGAGGTGTTAATTTCTGTGGACAGTCTGTGAGACAGTTTGTGAGATAGTTTCAGTTCCATCTTTGTTAAATGTTTGTATCACTTTTGCTACAGTATTCTGACTGATAAGTAAAGCTTTGCTGATCTCCTTGTAGCCTTCACCTTTCTTGTGTAAAGAAATTATTTTCTTTCTCAGGCCATGTGGCATGTGGTGCCATTGCTCACAGCATGATTTGGGAAGGGGTTTTCTTTGTTAAGTAACACCCTTTTATAATCAACTATCTACTGGACACCTGTTTAATGAATAATTAGGCTCACCTGTAGTTGAATTCTTGTTAATTAGGATTTTTGCTCTAAATTTAGCTTTGCTCCTAAGACTTTAATAGACTTTGATGTAATTTAATTTTTGCAACATGGTCTGAATGAATTTGTTAGGAAAAATACTTTTTCGTGTGTGCAAATTAACAAATTTTGTTTGCAATCAACGGCCTGCATTTGTGAGAGTATTTTGTATTACATTGTCTCATAGAAAATGTTGATTCTGAAAGGAAAGTAAAGGTTTTCTGACAAATCTGTACTCATTAATGCTGAGCACTGTATATATATATATATACATACCCACACACATATATACACACACATATACAGTGCTCAGCATAAATAAGTACAACCCCAATAGATTTTCAGAAAGCCTTTACTTTCCTTTCAGAATCAACATTTTCTATGGGACACTATACTACAAAATACTCCCACAAATGCTGGCCATTAATTGCAAAGAAGATTTGTAAAGTTGCACACACAAAGAATGATAAGACCAAGATAAATGTTTTTGGAACTGATGGATTCAAGACTTTACGCAAAGGTGAGGAGTACAAAGAAAAAATGCATGGTGCCTACAGTGCAACATGGTGGTGGCAGTGTCCTTCTTTGGGGCTGTGTGAGTACTGCTGGTGTCGGGGAGCTGCATTTCATTGATGGTATCATGAATTCACGGATGTACTGCTCTATATTAAAAAAGAAGATGCTACCATCACTCCACTCCCTTGTTCGTTGTGCACTTTTCCAACATGACAAAGATCCAAAACATACATCTAAGGCCACTATTGCATTTCTGAAGAAGAATAAGGTGAAAGTAATTCAGTGGCCAAGTATGTCTCCTGATCTGAACCCAATCGAACACCAATTCTGAAGAGACAAGTTGAGTATCACTTTTCGTCCAGCATCCAGGCTCTAAGAAAGGTCGTTCTTGAATGGAAAAAGAAAGATGTTGTAGTATGTTACCAAATTGTTCATTCCATGCCTAGAAGACTTGGTGCTGTCCTTACAAATCATGGTGGTCACACAAAGTACTAGATGGAGTAGTTTTTATTGTGGGGTGTATTCATTTTTTGCATCAACTAATTTGAGTAAAACTGAAGATTTTGTAATCTAAGTTATATTATTAAACTTACTTTCATGTAATGAGCTAAACAAATGTTCTATAAAACTCAGTTTTGTCAAAATTTTGGAAATTTCTTGTGTTCATTGAGATATTGCATAAAATCTTACTTTTCAAAAAAGGGTGTACTCATTTATGCTGATATATATATATATATTGTGGCAGTGCGGTATCCTGCCACGGTGGAAATCACAGTGGTGACCCAGGATTCTCAACCATACAGGTTGAGGGGCTCCAGGCAGTTCTCATAATGCAGAGGAAACGGGTTTATTGGTTTCCTCTTTGGTTTGTAAAGCCTGTTTTGGGACCTGTAGCCTGGAGATTTCTAAGAGATTTGGGAGGGATGAAATCTCCAGTCCTGGGCCCATGTTTTGAGAGCAGCCAGCGTGCTGATTGCACAGGTGTGTGCAGGCCTTTTTTTGGAGGCCAGGCCATGATTCTGGGCTCCACCCCGACAGAGAGGAGTCAGGAAGGCTCCACCCCGGCAGATAGGAGTCAGGAGGGCTCCACCCCGGCAGACGGGAGGTCTCTGCCATGGAGTCAGATGGGCTTCACCAAGGAGAGGTGAAAGCCAGACTAGCTGTGTGCTAGAGGTTTGCTGTGTACAAAAAACAACCCTTTGGAAGGAGTCTGCAGGAGACAGACATAAAGTGGTATACCTGAGAGAGCCAGAAGGCTGACATTTGTTACATTTGTGTGATGGTGGATACCTCTGCGTGGGAAGCATTTTGGTTATTGAACTCTTTCCTTTAAATAAAATTGGGCAAAAAGGCCCTTAAAAAGAAGCGAGTTGCTGTGTGCTTTGAAGAAGCTCTACCATTTTGAAGCGAGTTCCCACAATATGTGTGTGTGTATATATATATATGTATATATATATATATATATATATATATATATATATATATATATATTTAGTCGCTCTTCAGAGTTCGTTCTCCGAAAAAAAAAAAAAACCCGAACAGTGACTTATATATATATATATATATATATATACCGTATTTTTCGCTCCATAGGACGCACTTTTTTCCCCCCAAAAAAGGGGGGAAAATGTCAGTGCGTCTTATGGAGCAAATGTAAAGCGGCCGGTCCAGTATTTCTGCCGCCACCATGTCAGAATATCGGGCCGGCCGCTCAGCTCTTCTTTCCTGCAGGGCCTTACCTGTTCCTCGCTCCAGCGCTGCAGTCTTCCCGCGGCGGCTTCTGTGACAGCTGGGTGCCCACTGCGCATGCGCGAGAAGCGCTGCGCTTTGTGAATGGTCCGGTGTCTTTTGGGACACATGACAGGTCCCAGAAGGCTGCGGGCCATTCACAAAGCGCAGCACTTCTCACACATGCGCAGTGGGCACCCGGCTGTCACAGAAGCTGCCGTGGGAAGAAGGAAGGACAACTCCACGGAAGTGGGAGCGGGTACCTGTCAAATTCAGGTACCCGCTCCCCCTCCCTCCCCAAAGGTCCGCAGTCTCTGGAAATCTCCTTTACTGTCTGCAGTCTCCCCTGGTCATCCCCTGTCATCCCCTGTACTGTCTGCAGTCTCTGGTCATCCCCTGTACTGTCTGCAGTCTCTTGTCATCTGTACTATGTCCACAGTCTCTGGTCATTCCCTGTACTATGTCCTCAGTCTCTGGTCATTCACTGTACTGTGTCCGCAGTCTCTGGTCATCTCCTGTACTGTGTCCGCAGTCTCTGGTCATCTCCTGTACTGTGTCCGCAGTCTCTGGTCATCTCCTGTACTGTGTCCGCAGTCTCTGGTCATCTCCTGTACTGTGTCCGCAGTCTCTGGCCATCTCCTGTACTGTGTCCGCAGTCTCTGGCCATCTCCTGTACTGTGTCCGCAGTCTCTGGCCATCTCCTGTACTGTGTCCGCAGTCTCTGGCCATCTCCTGTACTGTGTCCGCAGTCTCTGGCCATCTCCTGTACTGTGTCCGCAGTCTCTGGCCATCTCCTGTACTGTGTCCGCAGTCTCTGGTCATCCCCTGTACTGTGTCTGCAGTCCATTGGTTCAGAATATTTTTTTTCTTGTTTTTCTCCTCTAAAACCTAGGTGCGTCTTATGGAGCGAAAAATACGTTGTGTATATATATATATATATATATATATATATATATATATATATCCATGTCCATTATAACACAAACAACCTTTCTGAAAAATATAGATAATATAGCCATTTATAAACACACTGGAAAACATAAATATTTGCCCTTATCCTTACTCCCCCAAGTGGCAATTAGGGACAAACAGCATTCTAGCAACAACATTGAATATGCAAATAAACTGTAAAATAAAATTAATAATTATATAATAATAAAAAATTGTGTAAAGTGTATGACTTTTCAGTGGTCATCAAGTGGGTATTAAAGCCCACTAAAAGTGTTAAAAGTGGAGTTGCACTTCACAATTATATTGTTGCGAATGTCCAACTAAAACATCCAGGAGGAATAGATCAAAGGAAAGTCTGGGAGGCAGCACTAAAGCACATTTCCACTTTATTGTATAGAAAAGCAGCTTAAAAACACCATACTATATGCCACTGGGGGAAAAAAGGTTCACGCATATCGCGCTAACCTCAGAGCTTAATCATAACCCCAACTGCTGAGGTTAGCATGATACGCGTGAACCTTTTTTCCCCCCACTGGCATACAGTATGGTGTTTTTAAGCGGCTTTTCTATACAATAAAGTGGATATGTGCTTTAGGGCGGCCTCCCAGACTTTCCTTTGATCTACAGCATAGGCGTGAGAACTTTGCCAGCACACATGCTGAAGGGTTGTGGAGTGTGGAAGTGGTGAGCCTGCCTGGAGCAGTGCTACCTTCTCTTTCTATATCCAGAAGGAATATATGATCAACAGAAATAAAACAGTAGTTACTATTTTTTCCTATATACAGTACATTGGTACAAAGTACAAACCTGTGTGCAGGTCTCCTTCACTCAGATGGGTGATGCTGGGGTTTAGAGTTCCAATGAACAGGTAGTGCCTGAGTTGCATTAGAGAAAGCCAAATTAAGTGCCATCCAAAAAGAGATGAGAAGGCACAACTCCAGAATGAAACCTCTGGCTGCTCATCTATAAAAATAAAGCAGAACAAAAAAAAAACAAGTTAAAGGATAAGCCTAGCTAAAGTATCTCACCAAGCGGTCTATTTAGCATTTAGTGCCACTCTCTGTTGAGGTTGCGGTGACCAGGGGCAGACTGACAACTCAATAGGGGTTCATGGGGCCCCTGTGTCCTTGCCCCAAACTCAAAAAAGCCTATGAAAAAGGTACCAGGGGCATCTCATGGGGCCCCCTACTGACCCCGGGCCCTCGGACAGTGCCCGAGTTTCCAAATGGTCAGTCCGCCCCTGGCGGTGACCCACATCCTGAGACTACCTGACCTGATCTACATGTTCTTTTTGACATTGACTACTTGCTCTATATTGTTCTTTTGATCTTCAGTCTCTAAATATCATCTCAGAATCCTGTTTGACTTTTAACTGCTGCCTCCAGCCTGCTTTTGACCCTGCTATGAAGTTTGACCAATGATTAGGTACTGTGCTGCTTGTATTTTGCAGTCTCTGACTTGTCCCTGATTCTTTTTCTGCATGTCGACTTGGTTCACTGAAGCTCAACTAGTTCTAATCATATTCCTGTGATGAGCAAATATGGGCTTGATATGCCAGCAGACAGTTCAGCAAATCCTGTTTGAAGTCCATAATTGATAAGAGGCAAATCTTGTTAGTCATTTCTAGATATTTGCAAGGGCTAATAGGCAAGCTATTGTACAAAAAAGGCTTAGGAAGCTAGGAACTGCTGTGGGAGGTATTTATCAATGCTCAAAACAATTTTAATAAATGTAACAAAATTTGGAAGAGTTTTCTTTTCATACTTTGAGATCAACATTGAAAATACACCAATCTTTCAAATTACAGGCTTGGAGGATGCCCTAAAGCTGTTACAGAACAGCACAATTTTCAAGGACTGCCACAGTGACAGCATATGCTGGCAGAGAATCCTGTATCTGGCTTTGAAATTAGTTTGTTTTTTTTAAAACAGCTTTGCTTTCATACAGCAGCACAATCTGATACATTTCAGTTTAAAAAAAATAGATATTTCCAGGTAGCTTTATGAGAGGCATGGGTTCCTAAGGACAACTTTGTCTTCAAACTGCTCATCCCACCCATGCAGAATTTCTGCCCTCCTGGGTTTAGAAAGGGTGAAAGTATCCTGTTTGCCTTACTTCCCTTCTAATGCCCTCGATCTCCCCAAACCTTCTCTTCCTACTTGGCCTGATAATGGCACACAGTCACAGAATGTGTTATCACAAAAACACAGCCTGACAGTTTTAGCCTTTTGCAATATAACTGCTGTCAACAGTACCCTTGTGATCAGCCTTGAACTGCAAGTGGAAAAGCAGATGTTTTACTATTTCCATTGTTATTTTTTTGTAAGGTGATAAGCCTAGTTATCATGCATCAATGAAGTGATGTGCTGCTTACACCTTGAGCACCCTGTCCTTAAATAAGAGATGCCAAAGTTATAGTTGCAAAACACCTGCCTTGTGCCTAAGCACTTGTCCTGCTGGTCATTTTTCTGAAGTCTCTTAACTGTTTCCCCTCCGCTCTATAGCAGAAATACTGCTACAGGGCAGCAGGGGTGCGCAAAATCATATATATATATATATATATATATATATATATATATATCACACACAAGTTATTTTGCATTTACGGGTAGGGGGCGCACGCGAGCCGCACGTGCCCTACTCGCGCCGCCATTCGCAGCCTTGACTGTCAGTCACCGGGTCCCGATGGGGGGAGAATCCGGTATATAAACAACACAGATCTCTCTCCTGTCAGCTCCTGCACACTGCTTTGTATGGCTTTGCATAGCAGAGCCATACAAAGCAGTGTGCTTACAGTGAAGCACAAACACAGCACACAATGTGAAACAACACACAGTTAACATTTTGATCGCCCCACATGTTAACCCTTTCTATCCAGCGCCATTAGTACAGTGTCAGTGCTTTTTATTAGCACTGGTCACTGTATTGGTGTCACTTGGGATGTCAGTGACACCAAGTCCATTCCCACCCATGTCAGAATGCCTGCCGCAGTCCAGTTATAAGTCGCTGATCGCCAATCTTACTAGTAGAAAAAAAAAAAAAAAAAATTCAGTATATATACCACCATTTGTAAATGCTATAACTTTCACGTAAACCAATTAATGTACACATTGTGGGATTTTGTTGCAAAGACATGTAGCAGAATACATTTTGGCCTAAATTTATGACGAAATTTAATTTTTAAGTTTTTTTTACTGGACATGTAACAAAAAGTCAAAAAATATTGTTTTTTTTCTCAAAAGTGACGGTCTTTTTATGTTTATAGCGCAAAAAATTAAAAACGCACAGGCGATCAAATACCACCAAAAGAAAGCTCCATTTGTGGAAAAAAAGGCCGTAAATGTAATTGGGTGCAGCGTTGCATGACTGCGCAACTGTCAGTGAAAGTAATGCAGCGCCGTATCGCAAAAAATGGCCTGGTCGGGAAGGGGGGGTAACTCCTCTGAAGGATAAGTGGTTAAATATGTATTCTTTCATTTTTGGTGTAAAAAAAAAAGCTCCATTGTATCGTACCCTTTAGATTTCCAAAGAGAATGAAATAATGACCATTGAGACTTTACTGTGACTATTCACAAGACAGAAAAGAAACTCAGAGGTACCTGGTTTCCTTGGATATAATTTATATACACCCCCCCAACATAAGCTGGTATTCCAACCACTGTTTTTCCACTTCCATTGTTCTCCCATTCAGCATTATAACTTGTAGGAAGATACAGCGTGATGCGGCAGCACTAAACACTTAAAGTCCAGCTGCAGAAACAGAACTGTATTGAAATTAAAGTTCAGCAAATCACAACTAACCAGGGGTGTATTTACCACAAGGCAAACAAGGCATTTGCCTAGGGTGGCATTTTCCAAGGGGGCAGCAGCATTTTTCAGGTGGCAGCGCTGCCCCCCTAAAGAAGGGATGGAAGAAGGGACACACGCAGCATGGGGATCAGGTGGGATCTGAGAGAGGTTGCGGGCTGCTTGATGGTGTATGCAGAGCCTGACTCTTGTTCCCAGGGATGTCCAGAATTGTGAAGGTGAGTTTCTTATCTCTTCCCGGGGTGGAGAGCTGTCAGTGTATGGGGGGCGGTGGTAGTGGAAGGCTCTCCCGGGTGGGTGGAGGGGCTGGGGTGTTGTTGGTCAATGTCAGGCTCTCTTAGTGGGTGAGGGAGGTGTTAGTCGGTGTCAGGGTCTCTCCGTGGGGGGAGCCAATTTTCGAGTTGCCTAGGGCAGCACGAAACCTAAATACACTACTGCAACTAACCCAACCGGGTGCACTTACAAAATGCGAAGCGATCAATTTAGCAGTAGGTTCCAGGTGTACCGACTGTGTCTGTATCGAGGGGCAGAATGCAGCCTAGCTGGTCCGAACCCAAATGGGGAGACTTCCAAGAAGATGGCGTGTCCCTGTACCTTCCCTACTTAACTGGAACCTCTCCCTGCCACTAAGCACTGTCCCTGACAGATGGGTGAGCTGTCCCTATGCTACCCACACATGAAATGCAAACCAAACCCAGGAGCCAGGATCTTAACCACTTGCCTACCAGGAACTTTTACCCCCTTCCTGCCAAGGCCAATTTTCAGCTTACAGTGCTGTTACAATTTGAATGATAATTGCGCACTCATGCAACACTGTATCCATATGACATTTTTATCATTTTTTTCACACAAATTTCTTTTGTTGGTTTTTTAATCACCACTGAGTTTTTTATTTTTTGCTAAATAAAACAAAAAACACCTGAAACTTTTGGGAAAAAAAAAACGCACTTTGTTTTTGTTATAAAATTTTGCAAATAAATAACATTTCTTCATAAATTTAGGTCAAAATGTATTCTGCTATGTTCTTTTGGTGGTATTTAATTGCCACTGGGGTTTTTAATTTTTTGCACTATAAATGAAAAAA